CCCTGTGCTGAGGAGCGCATGCTTTGCCGTCCCTAGCTCAAAATTATTAATTTTTACCAAGAAGCCGGCATTTTCTTCTTGGGCTACACTCCATAAAGAATACAGCTATTTCTGGGGAGATGTGACTTTTTACCTGGAACACATGTCAGAGGAAGTGGCAAATAAATTTGACAAAACCATAGCTACAAGGGTGACAAAATTATATGGAAAAATCTGGAAATTGTCAAGAGGTCTTGTATGCCTACCTACACAATCTCCTGAGACTCTCCTAAGCTAAGCAGAGAACATTTTGAACTCAGTTTTGTCTTTGCCTGCTTGCAGCATGAAGAAAGAATCACTGTCACCATCTCAGTAGAGCAGTGTACTAGGGAGACAAATATTTCTGCATGGGTGACAGTCCCCACCAGACCCTAGAACAGCTCTGTGGCATTGTCCTTCATATTTTCTCCCAGAAAAGAGAACTAAAAGGCTGAATTGGTTGACAATAAAATCTGATTACTACAGTATTCGATAACATTTGGGTATGTCTTTTGTCCTTACTAAAAATGAACGCTTTGTTTTGAAGATTTCTCTAGACAAGTTGTATCAGCTCTCTGGGAACAAGGGTGTGGGAAGGGTGAAGTGTTGCTAAACGTCTGTGCTTTGGACTGCAGAATTCCAGACTAGAAAGAGCAGCCAAGGAGTTACTTTGTTCTCTTAGTATAACTACCACAAAACCTACTTTTCGGGATCTCCAAATATGAGAATTCTGGCCAAAAGAGTATTGGGAAAAGCAAATAGGCAAAGACTGTTGGGCAAGAATTTCTTTCCAGCTCAGTCTTTCAGCAGTCCCAGGGCACAAAGCAAAATTATACTTTCAGTCTTTTGCTTCTTACCCTTAATGGATCACCACTGAGGAAATACAGGCTCAACAAGTCTACGAGATAAGACTGCATTGTGATGCCGTGTCTTGATCCAGCCTTGGCCCTAGAGTTACATCAAACATTTGTATTCAAAATAACCCAGAAATACACACGCACCTCAGAAGGGTGTTTCACTCAATGGCTTACAGCGCATACAGCAGTGGCCCCATAAGGTTATATCACCTAGTAACATCTTAGTTTGTGTAAGTTCACAGAATGACAGAATCACCTAAAGATGCTTTTTTTTAAAAGAATATAACCTTGTAGTTAAGCCATGGGTGACTGCACTGGTCTCCTAGGCCCAAAGCATTAACACCAGCATGAAAATCACAATGCTATGAAATCATCAATTATGAAGGCATTGGCTTTCATGTGTGGTAACCTCAGCCTGCCCCTCCAACATTTCCCTTCTTGGTGGCAAACCTTCCTTTTAAGGACCAGGCATCCTCACGCTGACGGTCCTCAAACGGAGGGATGATTTTAAGAAGGCGAGAACATGAAGGGAGATGAGAGGAGCAGAGAAAATGCACAGGGAATAAAAAAAGACCAGAAATTTCAACTGTGGTTCATCATGGCACAGTGGCAAGAAGCCCAGACCGAGGGTTAGAAAATCTGGGCATGGGATCCGACTTTGCCTATAATCTATGACTTTATCCAAGTTACTCTTCATCCTCAAGCCTATTTATTGTGAAATTGTTCTCTAGCAACCCTCCAACTCAAAGTGCCTTGCTCCAGTTGGTAGATGGATTAAAGCACATTTGTTCCTAAAGACCACATGAGGTCAAATGACTTAATACATGTGATATTTTCATAACACCCCTTCCAAATATCCTAGGATGTGGTCCCATTTTTATCATTCGGCTATAGGAAACTGTAGTCCCAGCATATTCTGAAAAGGAACACCTTTTTCACTTTTATAGATGGGAATTAGAGTTAACAGAGGCAGTGGAGAGATTAATGTAAAAACCAAATGGACCATCTTGGGGGTAAAATTTGGATTTGTGTGTGTGTCTGTGTGTCTGTGTGTCTGTGTGTACATTATACCATGTGACCTTAGTGATGACTTAGAACAACAAAAAGGATGTAGATTAATTTTTCAAAAGTCCAAAATAGGAACAAATGAAAGTTTGCAGTATCTCAAAATAAGAACCTTTAAGTTTGCCCGGAGGACATTCAAGTTTACAAGCTATCTCAAAGAAGAATGTGCTACTTTCCCCCCCTTTTTTTCCTTTTCCCTTCAATGTTACATTCCCTCACTGTGATCCTGGCAGCACACGTATGAGAGAAAAGGAAAAGTGGAGAGTCAAGGCCAGATATATTTCTAAGTCAAGGAAGGAAGGCCATGTGGATCAGTGAGCCGTCCACTACCTGAGGATCAGTAATCCTGGTCCATCCTTGGCACTTTTGCTGTCTAGGTACAGTCCCTCAGACAATCCTCAGTACCCTCAAAGTAGCAGGGAAAGGGCTCCACTTTTGTGATGAATTCTCCCGCCTTTTACCTACCCAATCTCTTTGCTCCTGAAAAACAGGAATTATTTATGGAAAGATAATTTGAGAAGGCAGTAGAAAGGATGGGAAAGGAGGAAAATGGGAAACAAAAAACTAACAAATCTCAGGGAAAATCCAGACCATGGACAGAACCAAAACATCCCTGCATTTTCCAGAACTGGTTGGGAAAGATGAGTGGAGTTGAAGTCTTTTATTTTTCTCAGAAAATCACTCCTTCACCTGGGTCTGTGGTCTCAGTTCTCTACTGAAGACACCAGATGTGCTCTGGGCTCAGAGAGCTCGGCCCTAAGTGAGGCATCTCTCTTGGCCACTTTGACCTCCTGTAGCTCGCCCCAACACCCTCTACCTGTTTAAACAGCAGCAGCATCTGTAACCATACAAAAAAGACAGGGTGTGCATGCGAACAGGATAGAAGGTCCCCACTCCTCAACCGAGGTCAACATCTGGAGAGACTTAGGTTTCAGAGAGGGATTCAGACTGAGTCATCAGTATGTGTAAAGGCTGTCAGCAACTTTTCCACGCTCTCTCTTAATAAACCCCAAATCCCAACCTGCTGGAAAGGTCCAGCCCCTCTGAGACATCTACTGGACTCCCCAGAAAAACTAATGGAAAAAATTTGAATTGCAGAGGTGAGATGGGATCCAGCTAGGGATCTGACTTCCAAATCAGTGATACCCTCATCCTACTCTTCCTAACCTAAGAATGGGGCCATTGGGCCCTGTACCTCCACCTTAACTGTCCTCCTTCAAACTAAAAGCACCACATGCCCATCTACCTGTGTCCAGAAAGAACAACTTTCAGTCCCAAGACAGAGGGAACTGGTAACTCCTCTTCTAAAAAAGAGTACTCTGTCTCTCCATGTGCTTACAGCTACCAGAAAATATCCATTTCCCTTTGACAATCAGAAATGAGAATTAAATCCAAAGATGTCAGAGATAGAACAAAAGTTGGGTCCCACTGGGCAAGTCAAGGTGTGGAGCAGACAGTTTTATTGGGCTGTCTCTGCTCCTCGTATGGCAGGTTATTTGAAGTAGCCCTCGCATCTGCTTTGTACTTTTCTCCTCATTCTGATCCCCTTGAAGAAAATGTTAGTAGGAGAAAAGGTGAGGAAACAGTGAGCAGGCTGGATTAACAGAAGGTTCTCCAAGGAAGGCCTTGCTCTGGGCCCTGCTAAGGGTCAGGAGTGAGCTCATTGTGCTCCATTTAAATTGCCATTGGCTCAGGCAACCCTGGGGCAGAAATGGAAAGAGAAACACAGCAGGCAGCAGTGGTTAATGCTCAACTCTGCTCCGTCCTCACCCCAGGAGGTCTGATACTGGAGCCAACCCCAACACCCCTGAGCCCCACCTTTCCCCGGGCTGTGAGTTGCCTCCCCACGTGGAGCTTTCTGTAGCTCAAGTTTCTCAGCATGGGTGTCTGGAACCAGGGCAGCTTCTCGGACCCTGTGCAAACGTTGTGCAAACGGGGATCTTTTGTTTGTTTCTTCCTCAGCTCTCAAGTCTGGCTGCCTTCTTCCCTGTGACCTCAGCTTCTCCTTGGCAGAGCTTTGGGGGTGGGAGGGATTGGGGAGAGAAATAGTATCTAGGCTCCAGGACCATCCAGAAAACCTCTCTCCAACCTAAGAGGTCAGTTCTTCTGTAAATGTTCTAGCCAGCAGATCTGGTGTCAGAGAGCAGCACAGAACACCAGCAGGGCATGATGGAGGCAATGTCCTTTGCTCCCTTCTTTGCTCCCTCTTTTTCAAAGTCATCCCGATGGTGTTGAACTGTCACTCCCCATAATAAGCCAAAGCACCTAGAATAAATAAACATGTCCTGGCCACCTACTGTGGGCCATGCTAGCATCTGTAGGAGATGCAGTAGAATAAAAGTCCCTAACTACAAAGAGGCACCTAGCAAAGCCAGATCATCTCCCAAGATCACCTAGCCCAGCTGATTTACCAAACAGAGCCGAAGTCCAGAACAGTCCATTAAGACCAGAACCAAGACTCACGGCATCCTGTTGAGACCAGTTTAACACACATAACATGGCAATGAAGACATAAAACAGGGTGTCACATAATGAGCATTTGTGATTTAGACTTGAAGGCCAATGTTACAAGAGCAATGAAAACTTGGTAAATAAGAAGTCTTCCTTGATGATGCGAGACAAATAGAGAAAAATAGGAAAACTAGAAAACACATAAGAAAGACTTTTTATTCATTCAGCAAATGTATTCCTCAAATACTTATTGAGTTCCTGTTCTGTGGCAACACCCAGGGACTATACAGTGATGAACATGGTTGCTAAATGCCTACTATTACAGAGGCCCTTGCTTTGGTGGGGATGACTGCAGAGGAAACAACTAAGACAGAGTAGACAGAGAAGTTCCTGAGCTACAAGGCAAGGTAGCAGCCTGCTGAATAGACCTCCTCCCCCTTCCTAGTTCCTGGGAATAGGAAAAGAAGTTTCACTTATGATAGCCTGAGTTTCAAAATATAATTGGGCTCCTTACCAATACACATTAAAAATATAGGGACTAGGGCTTGAACTCCATTGCTTTATTCAACTTTTGCTAGGAACAAAACAAACAATAAACCCAGTTCCTACCTGGTCAGTTCTTGAGTGAAGATAATGGCAGTTGAGAGAGACAAAAAGTAGCTCTTCAGTTCTATTGAAAGTTGTTTCAAAGAATGTAGTATGAATTACACAGGAAAAAGAAGAAAAAGTTGGATGACCAGTCCTCAGGCCCGTAGGCCCAATAGTCATAACCATCACTCAGGGTTTCTACCTGGAAATCTTAAAAGCCCTTTGAACCCAACACAGTACGTCTTAAATCAAATGCATAAACATCATTCTCCTAATGCCTAGCCTTTAGCCCTGTGAGTGGCACAGGTATCCAGGTAGCTGCATTACACAGAAACAAAAGCCACAGCTTTGACAACAACTGTTCACACCTCCTACATCCAATCCATCACCATGTCTTTGTCTTTTGTGTTCCCCTCTACATCTCAATCAGCGCCCTCCCCAGTCCATGTCTAAGCTGCTATCAAATCGCCCTGAAACCACTGCTATAACCGTAGCCCCTCTATTTGCTTAGTTCCTCTATCCAGTCCATCATCCGCCCAACAGCCTTGAATCTCATCAGAGCACCCTCTTAACATTTTTTAAGCTTCCTGATGTGCTTGAGGTTGGTTTGGTTTCTGCCTCTCTCTAGTCTCATCCTATACGTTGGGAAGTTTCCTCTACTCACTAAAGCCAAGAAAACCCCCTAAGAGACAAATTACTGATCTGTGTCAGTGGCTGATTAATGACTTTCTGCTCTCTTGTGTGGAAGTTTCATGTAAACAGGGTCTGTATTTGTTTTTACCCACCCCTATTTTGCTAGCATTTATGTGCATGGCATATCTTAACAAGAAAAATATTTATGACTAAAGTTTAAAAAATTGTCAGGACCATGGTTCTCAACCAGAGTTACTTTGTGCCCCACACTTCTCCAGGTTCCCAAAGGGAGAGGTGGGCATTGTTTGGAAAAATTTTTGGTTGTAGTGTCTTGTGAGGGTTCTACTGGCAAGTGAGTAGAGGTCACAAAGATTGTCAAACATTCTACAATGAATATGACAACCCACAAAACTTACCCAGCCTACCATGTCAAGGGTATCAGCCTTGAGAAAGCTTGAGTTAGATGAAAAAGAAGGAAAATGTATATTTTGATCCTCATGAATTGGATTCCCTACAGTCAAGTGCTTATAGAAATATAGTACCTGTGCTGTCTCTAGATTTTCTTAGAGACAAAACAAGCATTCACATGCACACTGACTTGTAAAAGTCCTACATATTTTAATGGTTTTTATACTCCCTAGTGCCCTGGGGTTTATTCAGTAGTACCTCTCTGGAAATTTTCACTTAACCTAAAAACTTTCGCAAAGACCAGCCTTGAGATGCACTAGAGACCACCTCGTTTCACAGATCTGACTGAAGTGTAGCAAAGGCTGGTGACATCACAAGAGAGACCCCCTCGCCCCATCCCCCCCACCTGTGCAACCACACCCATTTGCAGTCATAATGCCTAAGGCCTTAAATACCCAGACTCCCAACCTCCGGGCCTTGCACAAGGCCCCTCGTCTTGGCAGAAATAGCAATGTCGACTAGCCGCAAATTAAAGGGTCATAGCATGAGGAGGGGCAAGAACAGAACTCCTCACAAGGGTGTCAAGAGAGGTGGCAGCAAAAGAAAATACCGGAAAGGCAGTCTGAAGAGTAGGAAACGGAGCGATGATGGTAAGTGGAGGGAGAGTGAAAGAGTAGCGGAACCCGGGGACATGCTGCTTCCCCAGCCCTCTCTCCTGGGCCATCCTCCTGTCCTGAAATCTCAGCTTGAGAGTATTTCCAACAACTAAATTCCCATCTAGGCAAAAGGGTTCTGAGGTATGTTTTAATGAGTGTTAACCTGTCCTTCCTCCATAGCCAATCGCACTTGCCGCTCCCACTTTTGACCAGCCAGAAGGATCTGCCCTGGTAGACTTCAAACACCACCAGGTAGCAACAACAAGACAACAGAAGGGGGACTGCCAAGGAGACCTGAAATTAGAGTGCAAAGCCGGAGAAGAGCCTATCACCTATCAAGTGTGGGTGAAATGCCAGGTGTGACAAAATGAGAAATGTATATTGGCCATTTCTCCTCGGCAAATCAATAAAATTTTGAAGACTGAAATGTTTTTTGATCTTTTGGTTGGAAAATTGGTTCTGAGTTAGGTGGGCTTGGGCAGGAATTGGATGGTATGAAGCCATTAAACATGACTTGGAAAATATCAGAAGTAATTTGTCCTTACCCCTCCCATGGTGACCCAACTCTGGCCATGAGCTGTCACTGTATTAAGATTTTTAGGAAAGGATTTGAGTGCCAATTATGCACCAAGGATACCAGCTGTAGAGGGATCCATAGCCGTGACACTAAGAAATGAGCTAGAGTTATTGACTAGCAAGCTGCTAAAACATAGGGAGAAAGGCCAGTGTGGTGGTACATTCATCATGAAAGTGGTTAGGTTTAGGTTATCTTGGTTTGAGATGGAAGGATATTGCTTGGGAGAGTCAACTCTCTCATAAATGAAATTTAGAAACTTAGATGTGTCTGGAAGTAGGAATTACCTCAATCTGGGTGGACCTTATTGATAATTTGGCAGAGAAGTGTCCTTGGCTATAGAATTGGCTGTGCTCGTTACTTAGACCTTGGGTTATGATAGGGTTTACGATGTCTCTGGCCAGCAATCTGACAACACCTCTCAGTATCTATCTGCTCAGAAGGGTAATTTTAATTAGTGCTTCCTATTGCCTCAGAGCTCATAGCAGGATGGAATTGAGACTTATATTAACACTCAAGAACCACCACCCTCATGGAAACAGTTCTTATGGAAGTGAGAAAGGCATGCGGTCCAACATCAAATTTCCAATAGTGGAGGGGTGGGAGAGGGCCTGTCTTCCTGCCACAGAGCAAGAGAAGGGGAAACTCTTTGTATTTTTAAGGAGACTATTGAGTTCAAACTCCTTGCAGGTATGTAGATATGAGGATGTTGGGACAGGAAAACTGTCAATGAGTTATACCCCTATACCCTCTAGGGTAAAATTCAGGAAGAATTCATTTTTCAGATCACTCCAACAGAAAAATCCAGGTCATTTCACTTGGAGTGATATCCTTCAGATTTCTTGGTACACATGGTATCATAATCCTGGAGAGAGTACATAGTATTCCAGAGCTATTTTCTTCTCAAGTTTGTGTGCAAAATCATCTTACCATCAGGCATACAGATACTTCTATCTCACCTTTGCACTGAATCTCTTAGAAGTTAATGAACAGTTCTCATATATGCACGGAACCATTGATGCTTTCTTAATAAAAAAAAGCTTTTACTGTTTTCTGTAAATTTTTTAAAACTTACCATCACAGGTTGGTTTCCAGGAAACACAGAGTGAGACAGAGTTTGGGATCAAGCTACTTATTAGAAGCCAATGCTTGTGAAAGAAAGAGGGTCAGGCTTGTCCAGAAGAAGGGAATGAGCAAAGCACTGATCAAATCTATCAGGAAGGATCACCAGTAAGTCTCTCTCACAAGGCCACAATGGCAAAGCCCCCAGAGCCCAGCCAGTCTTTCAGACTGCCCATCTGTGTAATGATAATATCCCTATAAGGAACCATCAGCAGTCAGGAACTAACCAAGCCATGTGTAGTGGTGTGTACCTAATAATTACAGCACACTGGAAGCCTGAGGCAGGAGGATTGCAGGTTCAAGCCCAGCCAGGACAACTTAGTGATTTTGGGAGAGCTTGCCTAAAAAAAAAATAAAATTTAGAAAAGAGATTGTGGGTGTAGCTCAGTGCAAGGGCCCTGGGCTTGATCCCCAGTACTGAGGGGGCAGGAGAATAACTAAACCAGCAGTAAAGCTGAGAGTATGGCATTTACTTCCTGCAAGAAACTTGTTATGACTGGGAAGTCTGCCAGGTTATAGACTCTATCAGGAGCTAGCAGGAGAAGAGATCCCTGAAGATGGTTCAAATGAAGAGACTTTGGCAAAGGAACTGTTTGCTAGGCACTGAAAGCCTGGCACTGGTGGCCCTAATGCCTAGCCCAGGAGCCTGAGCAAAGCTAGACCTGTGTGTTGGTGGATGAGCTCCCTGGTAAGGACTGCATTAAGAAGGATCACAGCTGTTGCCAGAATCTCAGGGGCAAATACCCTGATGTTTCTCTAATCTCCTGCTGGTGCTCATGATGGCCACGCTCAAGTATAAGGCTGCAGACAAGAGACAGGGCTGAAAAAGAACCCAAGGCCCAGGCTCTGGGGGCATCAAGTGACAGAGACAAAGGAAAGGACAGCTCTGAAAATATAGTGGTGATAACTGACATAACCTTGTAGAGGAAACATCTTCCTTCTTGGGACTTACTAGAAGTCTGCCATTTTGGCATCCTATTTGTCTTCTCCCATACATTGTCACAGACCAGTGTCCCATAGAAGCCAACAGCAGAGAGATGGAGTGAGAAAAGGGGATCAAAACCAAGTTGTCCAGGATTCCTAAACCCTTAGTTTAAAGTGTGTTTTCATGTCATTCACATGACTGTATTGTGGTACCCCCAAACCAAGACGTCACAATGTTCTAATACAATGGTATATTTTGGCAGTTGTCTAAACGTGGAGACACTAATTAGTCATGAGCACGGGTGTGCGGAAAACAGCCCAAAGCTAGTCAGAGCAGACAAATCCTCTCCTGGTGACTTCAGCCTTTGCCCTCTTGGACAAGATGGGAAGAAATGACAGCCGCCCAGAAAACTCTGTTTTGCAGTAGGAACATTTTCCAGGCCCACATCCTGGAAATTTTCCAAAGCTGGTGTTGACTTAGTCCCTGCCCTCCAGGAACATTCATTCTGTCCCTCTTCACAGCCCCTACCAACCCAACACCTGTGAGTCTTTTGACCTTGGTGACACGCTTTAGGGAGACTGGAAAACTTCACTCCCAGCGTGACTTTTCTCCATCTCCCCAACCAAGGAAGGCTTTGTTCCTCTCCCAGTTTTCTCTGGAACGCCATGTCCTGAAGTCATTGCTGTTTGGCCTTTTTGGAAAGTGAAAAATCGAACCAAAAAAAAATTGTTTTAAGGATCTTGCCCATAAGCCTTTCTGGGTCACCTTGACCTTCTTATGAGCTGACTTGGACACAGGGCCTCTGCTCCACAATCTACAGGATCCCATGGGAGTGATGAAGCCCAGAGGACCCCTATGTGAGTGGAAAAACTTTGGGGAGCACAGCCGACCCCCAACTCACACCCCAAGCCTCCTCCAGATGACCTTGGGCGGAACCTACGTGTCTGTACAGCCAGCCGCAGACAAACAGGAAGTTCTGGAGAAATGCTTAGGGCTGAGCTGGGGAGGTGAAGGCAGAAATGGCAGCTGGGAGGAGTCTGTGTGCTCTGGGGGTAGTTGGTACAAGTCAGACATAGCCTGGGGCCCAGGTGTCGGGGTCACCCAAAGTTTCTGTCCTTAGAGACCTGAGAACACCGGCAGCCTGAAAACTGCCTCACTCTCTGGCTTTGCAGTGTGAATACTCATGGCCAAGACTATCACGAGCCAAGGACCAAAATGAGCAGGATCTTAATTCCTGACCTCTAGGACCACTAGGTCTTTTTTTTCCAGGTTAGTTGCTTTGCCAGGCTGATGAGTGGTAAAACCGGCTATTTTGCTTCAACAGAGTCAACTTGTCCTCATGCCTGTCCCTACCGTTCCCCTCTCCCTCTTCAGCCTTCCATCAGCTGCAATATGTGAGCTGTCTGCAGCCATCTTAGCCCCATGCCTCAGAATGGTTAAGAAGGACTCTCTCTCCTCCCCATTCCGGTGCAGAAGAGAATGCCCAGAGCTGAAAATCTCTGTCTAGATTCATCCCTGCCACTCCTCCTGCTTTACGACCTTGATGGACCTATCATTCTGCTCTTGCACACCTCTATCCTGGAACTAGAGCCATTCTATCTCTTCCTACAGCTCCACCATTGCTGTAACCAAGACTGAACTTGGGCAGAAGGGTCAGGCATCCTGGGAAGTGGACATAGTGTAGGGTGACTGAGCCAGTCCTGCGTCTGAATGCCCACACTTCCAGCAGTGTGATTTTAGATGATTTTTCTAACATACATTAGCCTCATCTTCCTTATATGTAGATTATCAGTCATAATATCAGCCCCATGGGACACCTGTGAAAACTTGTAAAGGACAAGTCCTGAGTTACTTAGGACACTTCTTTTTCTCTGAGAGTTGGCTTGATGCCTGTCTGATCTTGACTCATGACTTCACTTCCAGACTTTAGTCTCATGAGACCACACTACATGAGGCTAAGCACTGCACTTATGAGCAGATTTCTCCACCAGGGCCTGCTTGCTCTTGCACAGAGCAGGCTCCAGCCTCCCATTGTGACCTGGCACCTCTTAACCTTTTCTGAGCCTACTGCCTAGGTTAGTTCCTGAGATAAGAAAATGTGTCTTCATGGGGCTTGTTTCCCTCTCCCATAAAATGCAGGAGCGGGGGATCTTATTTCTCCAACCACCCTGTAGACTTCCAGAGCAAGAGGCGAACTATGCACACCAGTGAGGACGTAGGGATGGCATCAGGACACAGAAACAGCCATTGTGTCTTGGGAAGAAAAAAATCGAGGAACCAAATTAATAATTTAATATGTTGTTAAAAATAAAATCTGAGTATAGATACTGATGAAAAGGGGCCAAGGATGGATTAATAAACTCATTAATTAGGATCAGACTTAATTATTTTCCATTAGTAACAGGAAAGAATATAATGAGCTATGAAGTCCTTAGATGTAACCACACAAGTTTTTACTGAGCAGACATAAAGAGCTTAAATTTGATCTGTAGGAATGACCCTCAGCTGTGCTCTAGAATGAAGAACTGAAGAAGGGACCCAGTCATAGAGACATCTCATATCAAACACAGAATGATGCCACAGCAGCTACGCGATGATGTTACTGAAAGTCTGATGTGCGTCAAATCACCTAAGAAAACTGCTAAAATGTAGATTCTGCTTCTGATTGATTCTGTCCAGAATGGGCCTGACATTCTGTGTTTGTAAGCAGTTCCAGGTGGTGCTGATGCTCCTGGCTCAGGGACTTCATAGAAAATAACCTGGGATACACAGAACATACAATTGGAAGCCCAAACAATCCCTAACTGAGCGCTCCAGGAAAGTTCGTTGCAATTCATCACCCTATCTGTGGGTGATCATACCTTACAGGGAGATCATAGGAAAGAAGGAGGGAAGAGATGATCTAAAGTCCCTTCCAATTCTTAAAATAAAATCTTAAGAATCTAGAGGAATAAAGAAACAGCCGAGTAGCTAACATCTCTCTGACTTCTCTCAGGTATTGAAAACAGCACTGTCAAGTATGGAGACAGGGCGGGCCTCGCCCAGGCTTTTCTCAGCTGCCTCAGAAAACTGTCCCAGCAGCACCACTTCGGCACAGGAGGATCATAGGTCTCCTTTCTGAGGAATAAGGGAGAAGACAGACAAGAAAACATCCTGCACACAGTGAGGATGCTCCACCCATGGCCACCACTAGAGACTTGAAAGGGGATCTCTGGTTTAACTATACAGCCTTTCCCTTTTCCTTTCGTTTGTTCTCCAAGGCTGCAGGTCATGAGCCATATTGCTCCCCACTTGCTGCTCAGAAGGGTATCCATCTGCATTGGTATCCATGAGCTTGGGTTAAGAACACCTCCTTGAAGGGTCACCGTGAGGATTCAAGTAAGAACCATATGCAACACAACTCTCATGTGCCCCATGTGTCATAAGTATTTTATAAATATTTGTTCCTACTCAGAATGCCCCTCAACTTGAGTCAGAAACAGTGATGTTAATGTCTACAAAAGGGTCTATAGTGGAATAAAATAAACATGTAGTTCTAGACGGTTGTCTCAGTTACTGAGCTATTGAAACCCCCACATTACTGACTACCTAGCAAGTTGGGCAATGCTTACCACCAAGAGATGTGTCCCCATGGCCTCACCACTGTTGCTAGAAAGAAAAAGGATTCTGTGACTCCTGCTTGAGTCATAGAAGCCCTTTGCGTCTCCCAGGAGAGGGGAGGGTGGGGCCTCAGGCTAGGGCGACAGTGGTGGGTGGGCTGACCTGCCAGCCTCAATTTCATCTAAAGTTGGCTGGCTTCATGCCCAACCTGGTGTGTTGCAAGGGCAGGTGGGTGGACATGCCCTATGAGGTGGGGACAGGTGTGGGCAAAGCGCAAAGACCTGGAAAAAGACAGATGTTCTTTCTTATTTCAGCTTGCATTTTAACTAATTAAACTCCACACTTTAAGCTGTTCAGATTTAAAGGGGACACCCATTTTCTACGGCTTAGTTTCCTCATTTAAAAGGCTTATGCTGAAAATGGCATGAAGCCTTCAGAGGACACCCCTGAGCCCATCTTTTCCATCTCACCATGTACAGCACAGACCGCACTTGCCCTGACTACACAGGCAGAAAACAAATGGATAAGACCCCAAGATTCCCAGAGACGGAGAGAACTTTGTCTTTCTAAGCCTACTTGACTTGACTTTCCGTGATATCGCTGGGAAGTTTCTGACAGAGAAACCTCTTGGGAAAGAGATCACTTTTGAATCTGTCACCTTGTTCTGAAATTCCTACCATAGTTTACAACACAGCTCCAGGGGTGCTTTCCTAATAAGCCAAGGCAGGAATGAATGCGTTTTATCACTTGTCTGTCTCCGGCTCACTATGCTTGACCATCTGGAAGTCTTCAGCCACTGTAAGTACAATTGTGTTATAGCTACAGGGCTAGGGTCTCAAAGCCTTAACGGAGCATAATGCCCTGAAGACAGAGCCCTCACCCACATTACTCACTACTGGGCCACTCAGGTTAGAACAATATCCTCTCGCCAGATCAGTATGGGTTTGCTGAATGTCTACTCTACAGCCAGATTGTATAGTTTCCCAAGTCCCTCTAGGATACCAGCCAGTGCTTCATGTCTATGGAGTGAAAGATCATTACACACATCGACATTAAACAGGGGGTCATCATCAAAGGTGTGCTGAGTACCGAGACAGGCAAAGCATTATTCTAGGCTCCCTCTAGTGCTGCCCCTTCTGCATGATCTAAATTCTAAATATATCTATTTGATCAAAATAGGTAAAAGAGGGCTCCATAAACCAAAGTGGTAGGCCAAGTTTGGACATTCCCACAGTGTGATTTTTTTTTTTATTCCATTGTGTTCCCAGCCCCTGCTAGAGTGCCTGGCACATATTAGTTACTCAACAAATGTGTTGGATGGGAAGATGGACAGAGGTGATGCTTCTGACAAGAGACCTCATACATCTCCCATTAGGAGGAGAAAAGAAAACACATTGCAGTCAGAAAGTACTTGAGTTCTTCTAGCCCAGTCTCATGTTTACATTAGAAATTGAAGGCCAAGGCCACATGATGGAGTGGGAAGGGCATGAACCATGAGTTTTGGGGGCCCTGGAGCCATGATTCTGACCAAAAAAAAAAAAAAATCAGGGAAAAAAATATGAATTATCAGTAGGGAAGTCATCCTTGGCATTTTCTCACCTCCGCTTTTACCTCCACCCCTACAAAGTAGGTCAGATCCCCTTTTATCCAAGTAAGCACTGAAACCCTCCTTAATATCACTTTTCACAGTTGTTATTCCATTCTTACATAATTCTCTGATTGTAAACTTCGTGAAGCTATGGGTCATAATTTGGATTCTTTCTTGCTTCCTAGAAATGGCATCACCAATATTCATCACCCTAACTGAAGAACATAATAAATACTTGTTAAACATATTTATTCATTATAGTGTACCTTCCTTTTCAGATCCAACCTAAACTTTTTTATGGAATCTAAACTGGCTGTTATTGCAAATGCATTCACCTTATAAGTATGAAGTTGTGTTTGAGAACGCTGATCAGAACTGATTTCTGCCACAGGCAGCTGAGGAGAAGCAGAAAAATATATGGCTATTGGAGCAAAATAAATTCTCCCTTTTAAGTGGCTAAGATATTTTTCTAACTCAGACTAACACTCATCTGAACTGAGAATGAACTTGAAGGACTTGCTCCAGGCATAGGATCTGGGGAAGAAGGGAGTACAGAAGATTCTGTTAGGGGGACTTAGACTGTAAGCAACCAGCCAGCTGTGTCTAAGGGGCAGTTAGGAGAACAGCTTGGACTGGAACTGGGGGAGGTTTGTATTAAGAATACTGCTAAAAAGCACTTGGTATCCTCCAGAGGCAGGACAAAGACAGGAAGCAGAACAAGCCAGAGAGTGAAACAGAACCTGGAGATTTTCACTGTGATCTGTGTTAAGTCACATCAAGCTATGCACCTGTAAAAACCATCCAACATGTAAACGTGCTGAAATTGTGAGCTCCTATCAGGACATAGGGAACTGTAACAAGAGGCTGGCTCATCATCCAGAAAGACATGAGATTTCAAACACGAATGAGGTGCTGAATCATAGAAGAAAATTGTGACAAACAACTTAGCCAACAATTCAGACTGCCACCCATAAGCTGTGAGGAGACCATGGGGAGTCCCTGGGCAGTCCAGGCAGAAATTCAAAACCTTTTGAAATATTGGTCATTGGTTAGAATTGAAACCAAAAAAGTTAAGGGCAAAATGATGGCTTCTTTTCATTTTCTTCTATTAGTCCAGATTTGTAGTGCATAGTGTTTAACTCCATGTGAGAGTTAATACATGCACATAACACATTTTAGCTCCTTTTTCATCTCCTTTGCTCCTCTCCTTCCCCACTCTGTCCAGCTCTTGATCCCCTTCCCATTTGAGAAAAATCTATCTCCCTACTTTCTATTATCTATCTTTTACTTTACTCTTTGTTTTTAATTTGGGCTTCTCATATAAGAGAGCTGACTATGTGATATTTAAGTTTGTATTTCATGGGCATATCCATTAAAAATACAAACAGACAAACCATTGGACCCAGAAATTTCACCTGTAGGATCTGCTGTAGTATGAACGTTTGTGCCCCTTCCAAATTCATGCAGGAACTTAATCCCCAGTGTAAAAGTATTAAGAGACCTTTAGGAGGTGATTACACCTTGAGGGCTCCACCTTCACGGACAGGATTAGCACCCCATTGAAAGGCTAAGAGACAGGCTAGATAGACCCACTTCTGCTCTTCTGCCTTCTGCCACGTGAAAACACAGTATCTGTCTTCAGTGAGGAGCACAGTGTTTACGGCACCACCTGGAAGTAGACACAAAACTTGATCTTAAACTGGCACCTTGATCTTAAACTTCCTGGGCTCCATAAATGTGAGAAATAAATTTCTGTTATTTATAAATTACTGAGTCTCAGGTATTTTGTCATAGCAGCATAAACTGATGCAGACAGCATCTGTTCTAGAGAAGTCCTTATACCTCTGCCAGAGAAGGGTTCAATAATGTTCAGGGAGCATTTAAAGCATAGAGCCACTTAAATAATAAAAATGGGTCATCTTTTAAATTCTAATGTAGAACTCTCCATTGTAGTACACCCTAGGGGACTAGTCAAGGTAAATTGACTAAAAAAAAAAAAAAATGCACGTCTTGTGCATTTATATACCATAACATTCCACAGGTAAAAGAGGGCTCCATAAACTGAACATATATGCCATAACATTCCACAGCAATTAAAAAAGAGAGGTATATGTGTATGTGCATACACATACACATATGTACTGATATGAATAGATTTCCAAGTCACATTATTAGGGTGAAAAAACAAGAAGTACATCATCATATATAGTATAATCTCTTTTCTCTTAAGAGGAAAAGCTATTTGCATTTAAGAATAAATTGAAGTGTGCCTGTGTGCACAACATATACAGACATACATATCTATACATATATATATACATATATATATATATATATAAACTCATATAAACACACACATAGTGTTGTATATTTTTAAATATTTTCACCAAACTATTGACAGCAATCATCTCTGGGAAGAAGAATGAGGTTAAATTGTGAACAAAGAAGACATTTGATTTATCTATAGTTTCTAAATTTTATTACATATTACTTCTATAATTAACTATTTCTTTTTTAATTTCTTCAAGCTGCAAGCAATTTCTAACTGGCAAGAGATGGAAATATCAACAATCCGTTAGCATAGAGACTGTCTTTGTTCTGAGGAAATTGCCCAAATGAGCCTTTTGAGTGGTATAAATGGACTGTCTTCTGCACCTAAGATGTGCTTGCCAGGAGAAAAATTCTTTGGGCGTGTTAACATTCCCTGTGTTAACATGTCTCTATGTTGGTGCAGAATGGACCAGACTAGGAGGATTTAAGGACATGTGTGCTAGCTAAGAAAGGAATAAGGACCCAGAGGGAGGTTGAGCCATTTATGTTTCACCCAGGAGCAGTATGCTCAGCATTCTAGCCCCTGTGGCTAGAGGTTTGAGGACAGGAAGCCTGGAAGACAGTGGTCTCACAAGACCTTTCATGAGACTCTGGCTGCACGTTCTGCACATTCTGCACCTTCTATGCCTAGATACCCAAATGGCCCCCTTGCTCTCTTCCTTGTGTGGGAACATTCTTCTAGACCATAGACAGGTGGTTCTTGTGAATGCTATCTTTTTAGCATTGTGTTTTTGAATAGGTCATTACTCATATGCACTAAATCTCTAATATTTCATATATTCATCTTATTTTGTATCTGGGTTACCTTACTAATGGCTTACTCATTCTGGATTGTTAGTTCACTCAATAATTTCAGGTAACCCTGATGTTATGGGTTGGATTGTATCTCCTAAAGGTCAAAAATTGAAACCTTACTCTCCAGTATTTTAGGACGTGACTGTATTTGAAGACAGGACCTCTTGCGAGTAGTGATTAAGTTAAAATGAGGTATTTAGTGTGGGCCTTAATCCAGTCTGACTGGTGTTCTCATAAGAGGAAACGTGGACACACAGGAAACACCAGAGATGTGCATACATGGGGTACATACACAGGGGGATAGCCACAGAAAGAGGTAGCAAGTCAAACTTCATGAGTCTCCTGCCGCAATCTCCCAGATCTTTGCTGATGTCTTTTATCATCACCATTATTCACCCCTGTCATGTGTCATGTCTCTCCATCCATTGCTTAGGTTCCATAACCCTGCTCTTTTCAACCTACAGTGAAAGAGAAGAGGTCTTCCTGGCATGAGGAGGCTCAGCCCCTACAGGCTAGCCCTGTACTGGAACACTACGCTTTTACTGGAACCCCAGGAGCTGACAGCTGCTGCACAATGTTAATGGCTACCGCTTTCCAGACACTTCTCTGCTAACTGCCACACTCGGCCCTCGGTCCACTCTTCAACATGGGTGAGACTATGTCACGTGTGCTTCCGTGCTCCTCTGCAGGGAGCCCCAGGAAGCTCTACGTGCCTGTCACTTGGCTTTAGAAAACACATAGGCCCAGAGTGAGCCCTGCACTATGAATCCAGCAAGTGGCATCTCAGGAGACCAGGCCCATCCACCCAGAATGTCGGTACAGAGCTTTCTGCAGAACTTCTGGTTTGGTTCCAAGGGAAGCAATTCACAGGACCTAAGAGGAGATGAACAGGTCTCCTAGAGGGTGAGGCCAGCTTGGGGAGTTGGGATTCTGGAGTTCAAACCTCTGTCATGATTGTATGGTTGATGCTGAACAGGATCCTGCTCTAAGCCTCAGTTTATCTTCCTGTAGAATAGAAAGAAGTCCCTGAGAGATTTCTACCTCCTCTTGGATGCCTGTGGCATTTCCTCCCCCGGCACACTGTGAACTTCCCCTCACAGCCTTTCTTTCAACACTTGCAACCCTTCCTTAGGTGGCTCTCAGTCTCCAAGAGGAAATGTGAGAGAAAGAGCAAGGCTACTTCCTTAAAGTTAGCAAGTGCGGCAAAGGAAAGCTGCCGGTGAATCTTGAACATGGACTCCCTCTGTGTATTCCTTTTTGGCTTTATTTTGGGGACAATATAATAACCAATAAGTCTCAAAAGCAAGATATTCCTCTAGATGAGGAAAATAAGGCACAGAAATAGACTAACTTTTTCTGATGTGTTTTAATTCTTTTTTACTCCACCTGCATTGGTGAAAGCATCTGAAATACAGAATGACTCACTCGTCTTCAGAAGAGTGTGTGCCAAGGAGACACACCTCCTGCCACCTCTTTCCATGCCACATAAAAGAAAGGCTGACTCAAAAAGCTGAAACTTGAATAAGAGTTTTTTGGCTCACCTGATTAAGATGAAAGGTATACTGGCTTCAGCAGTTGTATGCAGAACTTTTTATCTCTTTTAACTTTGACTTCATCTTAACCCTCATTCCCTACTGTTCTTAAGATGACTATAAGATCTTGATCTTCCTCAGTCACATCTGGGACTGCAGGAGCATCATTGCTCCAGCACTGGCAGGAAGTCCTGAAGTTAATTTGGACTTGGTGAGCTTCGGCCACCCAGAGGACTGGATGTCATCCCTGAGGACTGGATGTGCCACTTGACTTTTAGCTCCCTGCACTGAATCAACAGCAAATGCAGCTTCCTCTAAATCACCTGAATTTTCTAATAAAATTGAAGCTTTTTGGAAAGAAGGGAAAACAGATACTGGAAAGATAATCATCTGCTATAGACACAGAATTGTTCTTCAAGTTCAGAGCTCCAAGGTGTTAACGTTCTTAAGACCCATTCCATCCCTGGACTTGTGGATGACAATAAAAACTCATGCCCTATCCAGGCCGGTGTGTCCATGTAGGCATTTATACTCTTTGGAGCACAGCTCCTGGTCTGGAAAAGAAAAGTTACAGTAGATAATCTGTATGTACGAGTTCATTCCCAAGATCCCATGACTCTGTGTACAGCAGATATGTCCATAAGTCTCATCTACGTGCAAAACTGCTAGTTGTCTTCACCACAGCCCCAGATTTGTGCTTCTTGGCCCAGGAGGCCCCTAGGATGCACCTCTGTGGAATCTGTATCCAGCATCTTTTTCATTTGGTTCTGGGTTTGGCCAGCAATAATCACCAGCAGGAGATCAGATCTTGGGAGAAGAGAAGTCTAAGATATCTTTCTCACTCTCCCCTACTTTGGGCCACATTTCAGGCAGTGTCTGTCCCTTGAAGACCAGAGATATTCTCCTCTACAATTTTAGTTCTTGCTGGGATGCTGGTTACAAGGACCCTTCCTCTTCCTCCCTGAGGCCTAAATGTGTTACTGGCTTGCCACTGTTGCTAGTTTCTAAGTATCAGAATTCCTCATTTGTTCCCCTTAAATCTGTATACTTTTGTAACTACTTCTTCATTAGTTTCTTCATTAATTTTGTGGTGGTTTGGGGCTTTTTGCTTGTTTGGATTTGTTTGTCTCATTATTGTTTTCATTTGAACCATTTGAATTGCATTCTGGAAACCTGATTGATACAATATACATATTTGCTTTCCACTACAAAAGTCTTTCTAGGCAAAAAATAATGATTCTGCATCTTTATGTGTATGTGCACACCCATGGACATGGAAATGCATAGCTGCCACCCAAGGGATGTAAATAGACAATTTCTTATGACAATCCTGTTACACTGTAGCAGCTGTCAGGAGCATTGGGTTGAGAAGGCTTCTGGGTCTGGCTAACAGGTCAGATAGTGTCTGTGTCTTAAATCCCAGAACGTGTAAGTGTGGACTTATTTGAAAATAAGGTCTTTGCAGATGTAATGAAGGATCTCAAGATGAGATCTTCGTGTATGTAAGATGACACTCAAAATCTAGTGACTGGCATGCTCAAAAGACAAAGGCAAGGAGAAATTTTAAACACAGAGACATGGAGAAAAGGCCACATGACTATGAAATGGTGATTGGAGTGATGTGTGTACAAACCAAGGAATGCTGGGAGCCACCAGAAACTAGCATTCCTCAGAGCCTCCAGAAGGAAGGATGCTGACACATGGATTTCAGGCTACCGAGTATTGGCCTCCAGAGCCATGAGACAATAAATGACTGTTGTCTTAAAAACGGCAAGTTTGTGCTCATTTGCACAGCACCCTTGGGAAGAGGAGAGAGTCTAGATCCTCTTTCAGCTGAATTGGGTACCACATTCCCTGGGGCAGGGATCTTCCACTACCATTCTCTCCCTCCAGTAGGAACAACTCAGAGACTCATTGGCCTGTAAGAACATCAGGGCTCCAGTAAAACTCTTATGAAAATGTGTCTACACGGGCATCTAGACTCCACAAAGCCAGTGAAATACACCACATCCAGTGCTCCAGAGAGTACTAAAATATGTTCCTAAAAATACAGAGCCAGATACACATATTCTCACGTTTGCAAGTGTACATATGTGCACACAAATGCACATCCTGAAAGCGGAAGCAATGTCTGCTTCATTTAGCTTTCCTTTTATCAACCCATCTTCCTTGTGCCCCGAAACTGGCTCACACACACAAGACGGGATTACAGTTTGGTGAATGAATGAAGGAGAGAAGAAAATGAATTAATTGGCTACTTAGTGAAGTCCCGAGCCATGAACTGGAGCCAAGAAAAGCAGGTTGCTCTTAGATACGCCAATAAATCCCTTTGCTAATCTATGCTTTCAAATAGGCACACAAAGCTACAGTGAGAAACAGAAGTCTGTGGGAAAGTCAGAATTTGAACCAAATTGAATTACCTGTGCTGAGAACTGGTTCAAACTTGTCCAGACTCTAGCCCACAACTCTCAGACACACTGCCCTTTCCTGTGTACTTGGGCATGTAAGAAGGACTAAGTGACCTTGGTAGGTTATTTAAACCTCTTAATTTGATGAGCAATTAAAGCAGCATAGCTAGTGGCAGACTCAGGAGCCAGCCCTTCTGGACCTGGATCCCAGCTGTGCCTCTGATTATCAATCAGTATGACCACGTGAAAGTGATTTTACTTTTCTCTGTCTCAGTTCCTGCATCTGGAAAATAGGGAGAATAGCAATTCTACTTTGTAGGGTTATTGTGAGGATAACATTTATAAACTGCTTAAAACATGGGCTGGCATAGGAAAGAGCACTACCCAAATGAGCACCAATACCAGCACTCCACATTGCCTGCAGGTATAGTTTGACTAATGGACAAATTGGAGCCCAGAAAGTTTAACCTTTGGCTTAGAGTATTATGGTGTCTGAAGAACACCCATAGGCCATGGAGACATGGACTCAAGCCGGGCATTCACACCCCTCTTCTGGTCTGGATACCAAGTGTCTTGGCCACATCTCCTGCCCATGCCCTAGCCTTTCATTCCCCTAATACCACTGTGGAAATTCTGAGGAACCAGTGGCACAAGTGAGGCACAGATGAGAAAGCAGTAGGAACAGGAAGATGGCCTCCATTCTCCGGCTTGGACAACACATTGCAGGAAAATATTCCTTCTCTGCTTTGTGCAGCCTTCAGCTCTCCTTCTCTCCTCCTTTTCAGAGCTGAGAACACTGTCATTTTGTAAAGAGAATAACAAAGATGCATATATGCCTATAAATGGAAAATAAAGTAGTGGCTGAGGGCCTTCTCTTGCCAAGGAAAACAAGTGCAAAGCAGCTGCAAGAGAGGAGCCAGGGGAGCTTGCGGAATCAGAAGCTCTCCATTTCCCTGTGACCCAGCTTGGGCCTGTGCAGGCCTGGGAACAGTGGCCCCTTGGTCCTGCTAGGAAGGCCTGCCAGGAGCCTCGGGGCCACAGACTAGGAGTTGCTGGGAGCTGAATGCTGCAATTTGCCATGGGAAAGGAAAGAGACAATTGGAGGCTGGTGGCCCAGAGAAACCACTGTTTAATTCAACAGGCGTTAACTAAATAATTGCTGAGTGCTGTGTGCAAAACACAGAGCTGTGGGGCAGAAGCAGCAAGGGCATCCTATTTTCTGTCCCCAAAGGACCCAGAGGAAAAGGGAAGGGAATCTATGGATGTGAGAATGGGACAAAGATAGCATCAGTAACTGCCTTTCCAAAGCATCAGTTGTGCTTTGAATCAGGACAAAATATGTTTCCTGCAACTAAATGGTCAGTTTGAGGAAGGCACATTAGGGGTAAGTTTTAATGGAAGCACAAGATTTTGACAGATGGGGTTGAGGTCATGGGAGGGTACTCCGGGCAAAGTGACCAGTAAGTCACCTCTTGGGGCAGCAGGGGTCGAAGTTAACAGGATGGGCAAACATGTAAGGAAAAATACGGAAGTGCACAACTTTAGAGAAAGCCTAGAAGCTAGGCTAGGAAATTTCTATACCTGGTTCAGTAAAGGAGAGGAGCTCACTGAAAATTTTGTGAGCACAAGACTGGCTTTAGGATGACTTCCTGGCAACAAGTAGGTTGGATTCCAGAAAAGAAAAAATAGAGACTCCTTGTGAGCATCAGCCCCGGAGAAGAAGAATACTTCAACTTTTTGCGATCATAAAGATGCCAAATTTCCTACCGCTGCTTACCCATGAGGATCCCAATCTGCCTCCCATTCCTGCTTCATCTTGTGCAACCCTGACAGTTGCCCAGCCAAGCTTTCTTTCTTCCTGGTTCTCTAACACACCAGTCGTTTTCTTCCTCAAAGCCTGAGCTTGTCTCCAAGATGCCACGTTCCCATCTCTTCCTTCCCCACATGTACCATTTGTACCTCTTTGGAGAGGTGGAGTTTAATGTGCCACATCCTAGAATCTGAGCTGGTTTGTGACTCCTTGGATCAGCAGGTACTGCACATGCAGTACTACAACAGTTGAGGGGGTCTAGTATTGAAGACGGGCAGCTTCCTCCTTCCTGCTCGCCTGCTTGCCCGGAGAAAGCTAGCTTTGGTATTAGAAGTGTAAATATCCTGAGCCCTCCTTGCCCTCAGGAAGCCCAAGCTTGCCACATGGAGCAGCCACGTGGAAGGAAAGCATCGATAGCTGACCTCCATTATTCCAGTTCCTTAACTCAGCTACCAGAATGTAAGTCAAGGAACGATCCTAATATTCAGCCAAGTCCAGCCTTCAGATGACTCCAGCCCCCACGGCTACCTGACCACAGCTGCACAAGAGTTTGCAGTGAAAACCAACACCCAGCAAATCTCAGTCTACAGAGCTATGAGAAATAATGCATTTTTGTTTTAAGACACTAAGTTTCAGAGTAGTTTTCTCTTTCCACTGAAATGTTCTTTCTTCTTGAGCCTTACATTCCAGAGGAAACACAGAACTTTCCACAGCTCCCTTGTTTCTGTCCTCTTTTCTCTAGGTTCAATTTCCCACCTCACCCTGCAGCAGGCAGCAGAGGATGCTCTCCAAATCCTGGGACCAATTTACTACTTACCATATAGTTCTGTCTCAGTGTGGCCGTAGCTGTTTCCCTGCATCAATCATGGAGGGAAGCTGCTGGTCTCAAAGGAGGAAGTCACAGAGTGTCTCAGTCACCTGCCCGGAGATGAGAAGGAGCTGAATAGGGGCTGCTGCCAGAGATCACATGAGCACTGACCTCTAGCCTTGGCAGCAGTGGTAGCTGCCGCTGCAACGGGTCTCCGCCATGACCCAGTCCTGGAGGAACATCTACAGGTCAATGGTTGTCTTGGAATAGGTCATGGGAAAGTCCATGGGCTGTCATGGCCCTTGACAGCCATCCCAGAATCCCACTGGAATACTGTGCCAGAGTACACAGGGCCCTAAGGTCTTGGGTTCTGTGCTATTTTATTCAATTTTATTTTTTGGCTGGACTTCTGGTTGGGAATTTAGAACACTAAAGCTATCCGAGGGCATTAGCTCTTGCCCTGTTGCTCCCTTGTGACTCATTAACTAGGGAACCTGTGCTCAGGCTCCACAGCTCAGTACAGAAAATAAGCTCAGTCCCCAACACTGGGTAAATGAAACCCAAGTCCGGGGATGCAAGGACTGAGATCAAAACCCAAATCCTTGCCTCCATCTCCTAACTCTTCCCACCTAGGGGTGGACACTTACCTTATTCACTTCTGAGCCCCCAATACTGGAGCAACCCCAGCACACAGTAGGTCCTCACTAAGCGTTTGACTGAAGGGATAGATTGCAGAGTTTCCAAGCAGAGTGACCTCCCCCAGGCATAAACAGCTCATTTTGGGTTGTGAAGGAGAGGTGATGGGAAGACCCATATTAACACACTATGGCCCATAGTTCAAATCCCGTTTCTGTACATAGAGGGTGTGAGCTAAGGATCCTTCTTACACTTTTAAATTATTACAAAAATGCAAAAAAAATACTATTTTCCTGATAAATAATTGCATGAAATTTACATTCATGTCCACAAATAAAGGTGTAGGGGAACATAACTGTGTGAAGCAAGCTGTTCTTCGCTGTGAGCTACTGCACATCATACAGAACAGCTGCGCTCAGGCTGTGCTTTGTCCTGAGTGACTCCACTTTCAGAACAGTAGTTTGCTCCATTCTGCCGGCAGATGCTGAGGCAAAATGGTAACTGGTAACTTGTCTGTGCAGAGAGATAACTACCAGATGTTGGACTTACCATATTTTTTGAAAAAAATAATTTCCAGCTACACAGCACAATCATAAAGCATAAACTGATAAATGAATTAATCTTGCTAATAAAAATTCTGCATCTGTACCTTTATCAAATTAAACCAAGGACACCTGGACATATGGTGTATCTAAGGTATGTCAGACAAAACCAGGTCTGTGAGTTTATTGGATGACTGGACCAACAAAGTAGGAAGCTCTCTCATCTGGATCATGTAAAAGAAGAGACACCCAGCACTGGGGTGCAGTGGGACCACACTGGTCTCTCATCTCGTCAGACCTCCTAGGGCTGGGGATTTAGCTCAGTGACACAGCACCTGCCTCTCAAGCGCAAGGTCGTGAGTTTGATTCCCGGTACTGGAAAAAAAAAACAAAAAAAAGTCATCAGACCTCCTGGTAAACACATCATGAGGTCAAAGGCCATTGCTCGACCCTCTGTCCCCGGCTTCAGCTCAGCTCTGTCTCCCTGCTCGAGACAGCCCAGTCACACTGCTGCCCAGACCCAGGCCTTGAACCAGCTCTATTCCCAATAAGCCCCAAGCCCTGAAGAACTTGTGCCCAGTCTGTGATCTTATCTGATACCTGTGATGACGTCCCACATCTCTGTAGACTCTGCCTCGGCTTTCAATTCTTCCCCTTCAAATTCTAAAGCCACAGTTCACTCTTTCTTTGCCATTCTGTAAGCTATATATTATTGGGTAAAGTGTGATGTGTGACTTGAATCTTATAGATATTAGTAATTACAATTTGTGATTTAAAAACTGCAATGACCTAGCTTATTTTGATACTGAGTGAACCTTAAGTACTTGGCCTGATAAAGTTGACAAAATTGATGTAGCTTGTACACATTTTGTTAGTCAATAAATTTAGCACATAGGGCCACAAATGTGTCCAGTCTCTGTTAAAGACCTAGCTCTCCCAGGACAATAGCAGATCCCATTCAAGTATGACACAGCTAAGCACTTCCAACAGAGTCTGAGTGAACCACAAAGCCAAAAGAAAGTTTGCTGACCCTTAGCCCAATCGGGTAAAAGGTGTTCACATCTCCAACCCAACATTCATTGTTTTGAACTAAGCACTAGTCCTCTCTCTCTCTCTCTCTCTCTCTCTCTCTCTCTCTCTCTCTCTCTCTCTTTCTCTCTCTCTCTCTCTCTGTCTCCCTTGCTCTCCTCCTCTCCCCTCTCTCTCCTCACCTCCCCTCTCTCTCCTTCCCTCTCCTCCTCCTTCTCTCCTCCTCCTTTTGAATAGTGGCTTTCTAAAGTGGCTTAAATTGCTTTTCATATAATTATTTTGTCTGACAGTTTTTCTCCTTCAAAGAAAACAATCTACTCAAAGACAAAGGAAAACTAGAAAAGAAATATTTAAAGGGTTTACAGAGGGAAACCCAAAGAAAGACTTGCTCTACTTTATGATATTGCTAAGGCCTAGAATGTTGGGACAACAAAAGGAAAACTTCCCTGAGGTCACATAGGGTCTCATTGCCCAACCCTAGCATAACCATGCTCCTGGCCAGACTAGCTTTCCCCATCTTGCATCCATCCCTGCTCCCCACCAACACAGATGATACTCATCAATCACAGCCACCATTAGCAAATACAATGACTATTTCTTGTTATCTCTCCCCATTCCATGCTTGCCTCTAGACAAGGAACTCCTTGTAAATACATATCCTTGGTGATTTTTATGTTCCCATTCCTACAAGATGCCTAAAACTCCTCCTTTGGGGGATGCATTCAACTAAAGCCAGTCCTCTCTCCTTTCCTCTTCCTTGCAGCTACAAAGTGCAGAACAGAATCCAGGCCTCTCACACCCACAGCTCCTGTCCTGGAAACAAATCCTCTTCAGGTAAAAATGCACCTCTAGAAGTTGAAGACCCCAGATTTCTGATCAGCTTGATGTCAACCCCCATCCAAAGTGTCCAGCGGCACCTTTAAAGAAACCTCAGCTTGCTGAACCAACTGCCTTCCTTTGCTTTTCCTGTCTAGTCTTCTGATTACCTAGGAGGATTCCTGGTTCCATCTGAACCCTCTCACTTTCCTTTGGGCCTGCAAAGAAAGGAACAACCCCTCTGGGAGCTCAAGTCAAACATCGCCTTCCATTTCTTTTGGAGCTAGAAGAGAGGAACTTTCCAAACTCTTCTTAAATAAGAAGAAAAGAAACTCTCCTCTTTCAACAGGTATTTCCAGCTGCTGGCAAGGGAATTACAAGAAATCTAAATACAATAGCCTGTCTCCTGGCAGCTGCTGGTTACCCTGGCAACCTGGAGCTTTTACAGACTGCCTTGGATACAAGAGCCTTGGAGACAGACTTCTTAAGCAGCCACATTCTTCAGAACTGACTCCTCCAGGGAAAAGTGATTCCTCTTGTAGAAAAGAACCTTCCTAAAACTTCAGTGCAACAGGAAAACTTTAAATCACCACTTAAAAAACTAGTGCAACTCTTGTTCAGCATTTTTAATCACACCAACCCATCATGTGGTGAACATGGACAATTTTGATTTAAATGGTACAAATGAACAAAGCTATACACTAAGGAAAGGATAAAAAAGGAAGATAAAACCAAGTGGACCAACAAATGGAGACAGTCATAAGGAAATGTATTTGGGATGGTGGTTCACCAGCCTGAGCTAGAACAGACTCAGAAAATACCAGTTCCCAAGTTCTGCCCCAAGAGGTTTTGAATTTGTGAGTCTGGGATGAAACCTGAATTACACTCTTGAAGCTTTTCCATATCTTGATCCTTTTCTGGTAAGCATTCAGATCATGGGACCAACAATCTGAAGACTTCTCTTGCTCTGCTTCCCATTCTACTCCAAGGGTCTCCTGAGTCAGGTGCCTTGGTTTCCGCCAACCCAGAATTCTAGAACCAGAATCACAGGAGAACATTTTCTTGGAAGACAAACATCAATCTGTAAGTGCATGTGTGCTTTGCTAGGCACTGTACCAAGGGAACCTAGGAGTTTAGAGCTGCATCTTGTCCTGGGCTGTTGGAAGGTTGTGTCGTTTCCATTGGGGTTGCTGCCTGGTTTATTTTAGATGCTGGGTCTGCAGGCCAGTAGGCTGGCCTTCCTTGGCTCTTCCGCAGAGAGCAAGCTACCAGGCTCCTCTGTCTCTGGAGGTACAACTTCCATGGCATGCAGGTAATAGGAGTTGACTGGCAGCAATAGTTGGGATGAGCATTGAATGCGGAGAGGTAGCATGCTGGGAAGGAGACGTCTCCAGACACGAGCCTTCACAGGTGATCCTAGCAATGCTACTCATAAGCTACGTAGTTTGGGGTGGCCATTCCCCCTGCCCTGGGGCCTCAGTTCCTTGGCTATGGAACAAGGTTGAACTAGGTAAAGACAGCAGAGAAAAATGGAGAGAACGTGAGTTGTAAGATCTGAATATTTAGGGGTTCAAATCTGGGCTACAGCACTGACCTGCTTTGTGATGTTGGTAAGATGACTGAACCAAATTTTGCATGAATTTTCTCAACTATAAATTTAGTCTAACGATGCTACCTTATGAGGCTTATGTGCCAACTAAAGACAATGAGGTGTGATGACTGATTGGATTAAGTGGCATTTGAAATCCAACACACACACACACACACACACACACACAGAGCTTTGTAGCTCTGGAGAAGTAGGTGAGATGGTAAAAGAGAGTTAAAGAGCGAAAGGATCTCCCTGTGCAGAGCAAGTAGAGAGGAAGGGAAAGATTGACTTTCTGAAGGAAACAAGGTTTGAACTTGAATTTGTCCCATGCCTAGAATATGAATAGGCAGCTAGAGGAAGAAATCCTAAAGAACAGTAGGAAGATAATCAAGGAATCCATATCAGGAAAATGGGGTTGAATCATAGCCCTTTTATTGCCCAGCATTGTGGCCTCCTAGGCCTCTCCTTCTTTATGTATAAAATAAGTTCGTTGTGAAAATATCTTGTATGGTGCCTGGAATTTGTAGACATGCTAAGAGTGGTTGGATGGATGGATGGATGGATGGATGATTCCAGATGGAGTAAAAGAATGGAAAGAGAAATGCTCAAGGCATCTTTATGGGTTGGTAAATATATTAGGCTAGCTCAGCAATTTCGAGAGTGTTCGTGGAACTCTAGACCCCCACAATATTCATGGAAAAAAAAAAAGTATTCTCTAGTCAATTAAATTTAGGAATGCCACAATGATATATCCCTCTCTTGAAGATTTTCAATAAATGTCAGCGTGTAAATGATTCTACAAAGTCTTTTCTAGTTTTATTTATATCCAGTAGTTCCCAATTTAATTTTTCTAAACCAGTTTCCCACATTAAAGCTCTTAACTTGCACTGAACTTGGCAGGGGTCTTCCTGGAATGAATTAAGGGAATGGTACCACTGTCTCTCTCTCTCTCTCTCTCTCTCTCTCTCTCTCTCTCTCTCTCTCCCTCTCGGCCTACAGCCATATACCAAGAGGAGGAAGTAAGGCATTTCACAGAAGGCAGTAGTGGTGGCGTCCGCTTTGTGCTTTCTCTGAATACAGAGAAAAGAAAGGGAGCTCTTTCAGAAAGAGGACATTTCCTCTAAACCAGTCTGAGCTGGCAGCATCAACTCTTGCAGGTTGGCAGCTGGCCACCAGGAGATGAAGAATCTGCTTAGTCATTTCTGAACAGCAAGAGCAAGCAGCTTGGAGAAGAAGCCAGATATACCCTCTGTAAGTCGGCCAAGTGCCTCCGAAAAAGAAGAAAGGGGGAGCACAGAACCCCTAGTGCCAGGAACTGACTGGGGCCATGAGGTAGAGACAGCTGGCCTCCAGTGTCAGAGAACTGTGCCCTGCTCAAATGCTATCACCCTAAACACAGTGGCCCGGCATCACCCCTAGCCACCAAGCTCAAGTCCTCAGCTTTCTTCCTTTAACTGAAGGGTGTCGGCCACAGGTGATGGTAGTTTTCACAGAGGCCTTGTGCTCAGTTTCTCTTCCTTGATTCATTCATTTATCTAGTTTGTCTTTACTGAATACTGACAATACAGCGCAAAGAATAATACCTGTATTAGTTACTTTTTCATTGCTAGGACAAAATCCCCAACATCCACAAGTTAAAAAAGAGGTTTATTTGGCCTCATAGTGTGGAGAGGTTTCAGTCCATAGTCAGCCAGTTCCGAGGCAGAGTGTCGTGGAAGAAGGGAAGCAGTTCATGGCATGTCAGGCAGGAAGCAGAGCAGGATTAAAGGAGAGGAGGAATATATTCCATTCCAGGCTACACCCACACCTCTTCCAGCCAGGATTCACCTCCCAGCATCACACCCAGCTATAAACTTGTCGGTAGACTAATCCACAGAGGAGTATCATGCCCCCATGATCCAATCACCTCCTCAAAGCCAATGAGATTTGGGTAGCGGGGGACATCTATATATAAACCAAACAGTACCTAAGGCCCCTCTGCTATGGAGCTCACACTTTTTAGAGGAGAAAGACCAAAAAAATGCACAGGTCTATAAGACATAAAATGGTGTCAGGCAGTGGGAAGGGCTTTAAAGAGAAATAAATTGGAGAGAGTGAAAGATCAATAGATTAGGAGTTAGACAGGATAGTCAAGCCCCTTTGAAAAAGGGACATGTGACTAAGACCTGCATGACACAAAAGAGAGGAACTAAACTATCTGGAAGGAGCGATTTCCACAATGCTCAGGATAGTGAGCATTGTGGTCCTAAGACAGAGTTGAGCCCAGTATGAGGACAAGCAGGCAAACTGACCCCACGTGGCAGAGGTGGGCAGGAGAGGCAAAAGATGAGGTCAGTGGTTACAGGGCAGAAACCTCAACAGATCAAAGCAATGTCTTTGATTTTATTTCAAAAGTGATTGGACGCTTTGAGTGAAGGAAAGAACAAAGAGTTCCCTCTGACTACTATGAGAAAACTAGAAGGCAAAGAAGGCAAAAGTGGGCTGAGAGAGAGAGCCCTCAGGAGGCAGCTGTCCAGTAGAGGGGAGAGGGGATGGTGACTTGCACTGAGGTGTGGGCAAGGAAGAAGGGTAAGATCTACGAAATATTTTGAAGATGGGGCCTGCTGGCTGATGGGACACAGGTTGTGTGTGAATTAGAGGAACAAAGAGACTTCCAAAGTAGCTGCTTCATTCCCAAAATGTGGAGGGCAGGGGTTACATTTTAGGGACAGAATGTTTTGGATGTAGCACTTTAGATGAGATACCTACTGGGCATCCATGTGGAAATGTTAACCTGGCAGTTGGATGTGTTTTGAGTTTTTCAATCAACATGGTGGTCACCAGTATAAATGTCTAAAACCATTTGGATCCCTGTTTCCAGAAAGGATTGGACATATAATCAAATATATCCTCCATTAAGTCTCTTTTAAGAAGGAGATTTTAGCAAAATTTACTTCATTCAAAATGTGTTTTGTTTTAGAGGAAAAGCTGAAGCCTGGAGAAAGGAAGTAACTCACTCATTCAAGGTCAGACAGCATGTAGAGCTAGGACTAGAATCCAGATCTCAGGCACAGCTTGAGCTACACCACAAGCCTGAATCCTTTTTCCACTATTCTCAAAATTCTTTTACATTGATGCCTTGAGGTTTTCTCTTTTTCAAATATAGAAATTTTCTTCACTTTTTTCTTTTTTTCAAATTTAACTTAATGTTCTCTTCCTGCAGTTTAAGCTCATTCTCTATTTTAATCAATCTTTTCTTTTAAAAAAAAAAAAATATACCCGGTGTTTGCTATAATTGATTCTTAAAACAATAATATCTGCATAGGTCTCTTCCAGAGTCTATAAGAGACTGGATGACATGATGTGCTCCATAGAAGCCCTAAAGAGCTCCACAAAAAAAACTCTTAGAATTAATAACCAGCATAGCAGGGTAAAAGAGCAATACAAAAATCACTGGCGGGGGCTGGGGATTTAGCTCAGCGGCAAAGCGCCTGCCTGGCAAGCGCAAGGTCGTGAGTTCGGTTCCCGGTACTGGAGAAAAACAAAAAAAAAAAAAAAAAGAAAAAAAAAAATCACTGGCATTTGTGTACATTAACAATGAAGGGAATGAGAAGGAAATCATGAAAATAACACCATTCATAGTAGCGTAAAGAACAATGAAATATCTAGGAATTAACCAAACCAAGGAAATGAAAGACCTCTACAAAGAAAACTGTAGTACTATGGAAAAGGTGATTTAATCAGAAAATGGAAAGATATCACCTGCTCCTGGATAGGCAGAACCAATGTGGTCAAAATGACCATACTCCCAAAACTTTATTATATAAAGATACCACATTTCTGTATCAAATTATGTGTTGATGGGTATACAGGTTGTTTCCAGGATTTAGCGATTATAAATTGTGCTGCTTTGTAAAATTGTACTTCTATCATTCAGGAAGGAAAGAAGGAGACAAGGAATGGATCTCTCATAGATGGGAAGGGGTCCAAGGGACCAGAGAGGTTAGGGAGAGGGGAAAATAGGTAGAGTGAAGATATGCCAAGTACAGGATCCTAATAGTCTCAATGAATGTGGACATTATGTGCAATAAACATGAAGTAAGATTAACATCAATAAGAGTGAAAATGGGGAAAGGGGAATCAGAGGAAGAGGGAGGGAGGGAAGAGGGGAGGAATTTTTAAGAAGAAACAAACTGTATTATGTACCCATACCAACTCTCCAAGATGATTGTAAAATGCGTATACTTGAAACTTGTACTAATAAATAAATTTTTAAAAACAATCATGACAGGTAGATAATGTAAAAATGTTGGTGTCCATTTACAGATGAGGAAACTGAAGCATAAAAGTCAAATAAACTGTATTTAATTAAACAGCTAGGTTGAGACACAGCCAAAGCCAGAATTTAGAATGCTTCGGGTCTTAGCCGAGGGAGCTACCATGTGGGCCAGGAAAAATTTTTAAGCTCAGGTACTACAGTTCTTCAGCAGCTGAGGACTTCTCCATGCTCTTT